ATAAGTTCCGACCATATTTGGTGCTCTCCCATGTGGTGGTCTACACTGACCACTCGGTGATACGCTACCTGATGAGCAAGGCTGATGCAAAGCCTAGGCTCATCCGCTGGATCCTACTTCTGCAGGAATTCGATATAGAGATCCGGGACAAGAAGGGAGCCGAGAATGTTGATGCCGATCATCTTTCACGGTTGGAAGCCCCTCCGGTGGACAACTTCGTGGAGGAGATTGATGATTCTTTCCCGGGGGAGCGATTGCTGGCAATAACATTGGTGGACAGGGTGGTCCCCTGGTATTCTGACTTTGCCAATTATCTGGTGGGCAAGCAGCTACCAAAGGGGATGGCCACTCATGCAAAGCGCAAGTTCTTCTCCGACCTGAAGCATTACTTCTTGGAGGATCCTTACCTCTTCAGGATCATAGCAGATGGCGTGATCCGGCGTTGTGTCATGGAGCACGAGATGGGAGACATCCTGTCTCAATGCCACGATGGACCTACTGGAGGTCACCATGGAGGAAACCGCACGGCGTGGAAGGTGCTACAGTCGGGCTTCTATTGGTCCTCGCTCTTCAAGGATGCAGACACCTTCGCACGACAGTGCAACCGCTTCCAAAGGTCAGGTAACATTTCTTCCCGGGATGAGATGCCCCAACATATTTCTGTCATTTGTGAAATTTTTGATGTTTGGGGCATCGATTTCATGGGCCCATTCCCTCCATATTTTGGCAATCTGTACATACTGGTTGCAGTGGACTACGTCTCGAGGTGGGCAGAAGCTCAAGCCATGCCCACCAATGATGCAAGACGGGTCTGCTCATTTCAGAAGCAGCTGTTCTCCCGGTTCGGGACACCTCGCGCCATCATTAGTGATAGAGGAACCCATTTTCAAGTGCAATTCACTAAACTCCTCTCTCCCTATGGTGTTAAGCATCAGATGTCGGTGGCTTACCATCCCCAGTAAAATGGGCAAGCCGAGCTGACGAACCGGGAGCTAAAATGAATAATTGAAAAGACGGTGGATCAGTCCCGCAAGGATTGGTCCACCAAGCTCGATGATGCTCTTTGGGCATATAGGACGACCTATAAAAACCCGATTGGCATTTCTCCCTATAGGCTTGTCTATGGGAAGGCATGTCATTTGCCAGTAGAGCTATAGTACAAGGCCTTTTGGGCCATTAAGTTGCTAAACCTGGATTTGAGTGTTGCAGGTACTGAACATAAGCTGCAGCTGCTGGAGTTGGAGGAATGGCATTACCACGCCTACGAGAACACCCTGCTCTACAAAGAGCGAACCAAGCGTCTCCACGACACTCGGTTGAGGGGCCCGAAGGAGTTTTAGGTAGGTGATCGTGTTCTGCTCTTCAATGCACGCCTGAAACTCTTCCCGGCCAAGCTACGTTCGAGGTGGTAGGGACCCTTCACGGTCACCCAAGTTTTCCTGCACGGTGCGGTGGAGATCAGCAATGCTCAAACTGAGCCATTCAAGGTGAATGTCCACTTCCTAAAGTTGTACTTGGGAGGTGCTGTCGAACGATCAGAGCTGCTGATCAAGCTCGAGGACCCTTAGTTCCTCTACTGGCATCCAGCTAAAAGACGCTAAAGAAACGCTAGTGGAGAGGCAACCCCACCACGGTTTGCATTTCTACCCTTTTTCCTTTTCATTTTTGTCGGTTTTTGAGTGTTTGAGTCTGTCTGGAGTCTGTCTGGAAAGTATTTCGTGCCTCGGGTGGTTTGTTTTAATATGTGTCTAGGTAATTTTTCGAGCCGGGGTACGGATGAGTTTTGGTGGTTAGAAATTGGGATTTTGAAAAAAGCAGAAGGGGGTTCGGCAAAATAAATACGGGCACCAGGGGAGAGAAACACAGCTGTGCTTCTCCCCTGTCCGCCCGTGTTCTGATCAGAAGCCTGGCACCCGCTCGGCGATAAAAACACGGGCGCCAAGGTTCAAAAACACGGCCGTGCTTTGAACCCTGCCCGCCCGTGTTTTCAAAAGGGGGGAACACGCCCTCGACCATAAAAACACGAGCGCGGAGCACGGAAAACACGGCCATGTTTCCGCCCGCCCGTGTTTTAATGGCCCCCCTGTAAAAATCTATTTTTAGCCATGGAGGCTAACATTGACCATGTTCGCTTGTGTGCCATTTGTACATCCTTTTGCTTTGCAGGACCATGGAGGCCTACCTCGACCAATTGAGCATCACACAACGCCACCTGCAGTGGACCATCCGTACCCGCCATATCGCCGAGCACCTGCATCTCGACTTTGGGGTGTTCGAGGTGCTTCATGCCCGGACGCAGATGGAGAAAGCTGTTCGCGCCTATGGTTGGCGACGCCTTCTCTGCCTCGCCGAGCCGACCTACCAGGAGCTCGTCTAGGAGTTCTACGCATCCTTCCGCCACTCCCAGAGGAGGTCGGCCGACCATGCTGATGCGGTACATTTCACACTCGGCGGGGTGGAGCACTCCATTAGTTACTGGGAGTTGGCCAATGCACTTCGACTAAAATCCCCGTACCCCAGCGACCGCCCCTTGGTCGTGGAGGTGACCAATCCCACCGAATTTGCTGACCAGGCCTACCAGATGCGGTCCACTCTCCTCCATCCGGAGTGGCGGATCCTCAACCTCCTGCTCACCCAGTCCTACACTCCCAGCCGGGCTCGGCCAACCGGGTCACCCTCCGGACCCTGTACTTCATGCATGCGATGGGTCGCTCTGAGGACACTATCGAGCTGGGCTCTGTGCTCGCCCGGACATTCACCAAGGCCTCTGCCAACCAGGATCGCCACCTTGTCTGTGGCCCGGTGATCACCGCCCTGGACCGCTACTAAGGAGTCGACACCACTGGGATGACTATGGTCCGAGCAGCGACCCCATTCGGCGATACCACCCTCCGCCATCAGCACATGCTTGCTCGACATGGGCATTTGACATTGATTGCGGGTCTCCCTTGGCAATGTAATTTGATTGATGCATCGAATGGCTTTCGAATTGTTGCATGACAACTGGATTGTGACTAGGAAAACCTATAATGATGACTGAGACGTGCAGTAGAGTTGTGTAGGGGTTCAGTTTTTCAACTGTTTGCTTACCAACTGTGACTTGGATTGATTACTTTCTCTTGAAAGTCGTTTATGCATCTAGTTCAGGGAATCAGAATGAGAGATAGAGCATATATGTAGCCATGTGAGATTTGAGCCTGCTCGTTTCTTTCTTGTGCGATAGTTCCCTCTTCCATGATGTGCAGCATTCATGTTGTCATTAGCTAAGATGATGGAGGCATAGGAGTAGCCCACGACCAAATTGATTATCCTGATGTGTCATACCCCCTAGTCAGCCCTTTGATCCGTGTGTTATCCTTTCTTTAGGTCTACAATGGAAAGTCACCCTTTTGTATCTCTTAAAAGGTTCCACAGAGTGGTTTTTACATGTTCTCTGCTGTTTCTGCTAAATATAATGTGAGAGTTGGAAGTAGTTCTTAAAAAGTTGGGCATGTGTTTGAAAAATGTGCATAGGTGGTGGTTCTCTCAAGAAATGAAAAGGAAAAGGAAAAAAAATGAAAGAAAGCAAAAGAGAGCCACCACCAAAAATCTTAATAGTGCCCATTAAGTAGTGTTTCTTAGCAGTCTGGCTTGGAAATACTAACATTTATGTACCTCCTTCGCTCTTGTGCTCTAAAGAATGGGAGTAAGGAAGAATGGAAGAAGGAAAGAGTGGTTTGATTGACTGTGAGTATGTTGGGTTTGGAATTGTGGAACCTTGTGCTATGAACTTCCACCACCTAAAAGGCCTTTTCCCCATGTCCAAGACCCTAGCCAGTCATTTGAAACTGTGTCTAAGACCTCCGGATTAGTTAGTGGTGACACCCCATATGCGAACTCTAGCATTTAGAGGCTACCTTCATGGTGGAGAGACGTTAGGGATTGAGAGAATAAGCATGCGCATTTTTCGCATCAAAATTTCCCGACCCCACTGGTCGAGAGTGAGCGATTCATTTTCTCATATTCTCTATACTCTTTATCCCGGTGAGGACCTAGATTGCTCGGTCTTAATTCTGATATCTTGGGTATGAAGAACTTTCTCTCACTTGGGTATGAAGAACCCTAGTTCCATATGTTAGGGATCTTGATTGTAATGACTTGGGATTGTTATATTGTTTGGTTTTAATCGAATGATGCATGATTCATTGAATCAATTGAAGTCTGATCATCTTTTCTTGATTTCTGCTGCAACCTGAGATAGATAGAATCTGATTAGGTTGTTAGAGCTTCCTCATTCGGTAGTAGTAGATTGGTTATACGAGAGTTAGTCAATCTACTGCTTTGTACTGTAACCCAATTCCAGTAGTGGAGTTCTGTGCTTATTGCCTCAGCAGTCTATCCCGGTGAAGGTTGGTCGCCTGCCGGTTAGCCTGCCTGAGAGGGCTTGGTTAGCTTAAGAGATTCCAAGCTACTGTCGGATCTCCCGCAGTTTAATCAACAGTAAATCAACCCAGGGTAATTACAATTGAGACCTAATTAAGGAGCTAGGGGGACTCATTCCCGAGTGACTCTTCCTTTGCTTTAGAAAACCGAATCATTTCCTGCTTTCTTACAGCTTTTACTTAAATCAACAAACACTTGACTTAGTTGGCTAGATAATAGATATTCACGGAGTAGGCAGTAGATCTAGACCCCGGGTTGACATTAGAGCTTGCATGTTACTGCATTTCCGGACTGCGATTACACTTGGTCGCAGTTTGGTGTTGTGTTTTAGCGTGTCACAATGCTTACAACAAGATTTCATATGTCAAAACAATTCTACATCCGCTCTATACATAAAGCTCTCACTATATCAATGTTGTTATTTGCAAGTTCATTGGCAGTAAAGATGATAGAAACTAATGTTTAGGCTCTATCATAATTATCATTATTATTAATATTAGAAATTATCTAAATATGGTTAGTAGTCTTTGATTCATATTAGGATAGTCTATTAGGTTTTTCCAGTCTTTTGTTATAAATATGTACTTTGCGTTTTATTCAGAATCAATAAGAAGAATATTAAGAAAACTCTTCTAAACCCTAATCTCCATATCCTCTCAATTCTCGTTCTCAACCCTCTAAAGGCCTAGGCCGATTCTCTATCTTTCTCTTCTCAAATCCCTAATTCTGCTCTTAATCCCTAAATCCCAGTTCCCGAATCGGTTTGTGCCTTTCCCGCCTTTATTGACTTTCAAACTTCGTGAACCCAACAACTTGATTTCAGATTTGGGCGTTTCCACCTCTAGCATCCTCGAGTGAAATTGAAGTTTCCTACAGCTTCTTACAACTTCCCTTGAGGATTCCACATTAACAGTTCGCGTCGAATCATCCTCATTCACTCCATCCAATTCGCTCAAAATTTGGTCATGTTTGAGCGTTTCCAGTCAATTTTTAGATGAATTGGATCCTGGAATCTAGGTACATTCGTTCCAATCCAACTTGCGCACGAGCTTCCCGAAGAAATTTGGAATGTTCCTGTAGTCTTCTTTAGGTTTGACTCTTCACCAATCTCTCCGACGAATCCACACTCTCTCCTGCTTTGCTCCGACGATGGGTTGCAGGGCTGTCGTCGACAAGCCTTCCTCTCTCTCTCTCTCTCTTGTGTCCAGTAAGCATCAGCTTTTGAAATACCACATTGCTTCCACGAGGCTCCTCAAAACTTCCGCCACTATATTCGTCCTTCGAACGTCGTTGATTAGACTCCAAATGTCTCCGGTCTTCCCGTACTTCTTCCGGCGACAATGACTTGAGCATATACTGCTTCCATTTATGTCGAACCTTGTGCTGATTCGTGCCACCATAATGAAAGACGCCAAGGTCGATTTTCCAAGGTCTTCCCAGTAGTATGTGAGCATCCTGCATCGAGGCTACGCCAAACTCGAGCTCATCCTTATATCCTCTTATCTCGAAGTTCACCTTAGCTCGTTTCGTCGCCCGAATCGCCCCCATAATCGTTTAACCAGTGCAAATTGTAGGGTTCTGGATGCCTCATCGTACTCAATCCAAGTTTATTCACTGCGTCCTGACTGATGACGTTTGCACAACTTCCTCCGTCAACGATCAACGAAAAAAGATGACCTTGAACAATGCATTGCTAGTGAAATAGAGTTTCGCGCGGGCTTGAGTCCTAGTCATTTTCGAGGGGAAAGTGCCCTCCTTATGACTCCTAGAAGCTTCCCAGTTGGGGCTTCTTCAACCTCAATCTCTTTATCAACCTTTTCATCCTTACTGGAGCCAGATTACTCATCGTTAGTGCAGTACTCACCACCCCTTAAGGATCAAAGCTTTAATGTTGGGGCATTGATTGCCCTTGTTTTCTCTCACATGACACTTCTTGAATGATCTGGAGGAGCTGGATTAGTGTTTCCGGGAGACAATTTGATGTTGTCGGGTCAAGGTTGAGGTGGATAAACTTTAGAGTTAAGTTCTGCGGTCTGCTTCGCCGCCGGAGTAAACCTTTGACAAAACAAGGCTTTCTGCTGCTTCTCTATCTTAATGGCGAGGTGTAGTGCTTCTTCTAGGTCAACAAAGGACCTCTTGTCGAATTACTCGACTCAATCCATAGAGGATTCGAGCAATCATAGCTTCTCTGTCTTCCCGCATGTCAGCTCGCATTAAAAGAAGTTACAATCCGCGAAAGTACTCCTCCGTCCTCCCTGCCAAATCCCTTGTAAGGATTTATGGAGGTCCCTTTAATAGTAAGCCGGCACGAATCAATCGTGGATCAATCAACTTAGCTCTTCCCCCCACTGAGCCGCGTAGTCAATAAACTCATAAGTGGCTTATGACACCTTTTCTTACTCTGTATAATGTCTGCACTAGTAGAAGAAGATCATATTCTGCTCCTAGTCTAGGAAAGCTGAGGCATTAATCGTGCCCTGAAATGCCAGAACAACCAATTTGATCCCAGGTGGGATCGCCGGCGGCTCTACTTCCCGATGATCATGCCTCTCTCGATGTGGCCGTTCGTGTTGGGGTTCTGCTTAGACAAGCCAACATTCTAGCTCACCAATTCTGCACAGCAGCTCCAGATTGCCAGCTGGATTGGCGTCACCGGAAACTTCCCCTTCTCGGACTCTATTTTTTGGGCGAGCAATGCTGTCTTAATTGACCCAATCTCGTGTCAATCTGTCGCATCAAATCCTCTATATCAATTTGTTGTTCCGCCATTGCTTGAGCTTCAAGCGGAACTTCAAACTCAAGCTTTGACTCCTCCTCTGGTTTCTAATGTAGAACGGCAGGGTCGCTAGATACGGGCTTCTCCGTACTGGCCACTATACTTGAACCAGGCTCGTGATGCCACTTGATAAGCCCCTAATTGGGTGGCTTTGATCAGAAACGCGCAGCTATGAGATTGAATTGAACTCAATTCAACTCTTTGAAAAAAATAGGGTGTTTGGGTTGGTTTATGGTGTCGTTCTTTCGTGCAATCGCTCACAATGGACGAAGGCTCGACAAGAATCAGGTTGTAGCTGGCCACAATCAAGGATGAAGGGCTTGATTGATACAACAACGAGTGCCCTAGAACTCCTCTAAGCAACTCTCAATCACAAGACAAAAATTGTGAATCAAACTTGACGTTTGTATTTGATTTAACCAAAAACTAACTATTACAACGAGGGACTCTACTTAAATAGAACCTAGAAACGGTTAACAACACTAAAGGAAATCCTAATTAGGTTACAACTCGAAAAATTCAAACAAACAAGGAAAATGACTTAAACTCCAAAAACAGACTCGTAACCCTAATCCGATAAGGATTCAGATTCTGTATTTTCCAAAGGCAGAAAAATATGTCTTCGAACAATCTTTGGAGATTTTGTTTGAAGGCTTCCAAGCTTCATTCCAAACATCCAATTCCACGACTTTGTAGTATGAAATTCCTACTCTCATGTGACATCAGCCTTGCAACTCGAATCTTGGTCAAACTCGTCAAATTGAAGCTCAAAGTCACCTTCCAGAACTCGATTCCATACTTAGGCAATTTTGGTAGTTTTTCCTGTGTTAAGCTAGCACTTTGATCGACCTGAAAACATACTTCTGGCCTTCCTCTTGAGCTCCATAACATGTCAATGGAAGGAGCAACTCTTCTTCTTCAATACAAGGCACAAGCCCTTGAAGTCGAATTTTCACCAAGCCAATAAAAAGTTGCACACGTCCAAAGTTGGTACCTAAAATCGTCAAAAATACCGAGGCAGTTTTTACGGTTTAGTTTTTATTCTTCGATGATCAATCCTGATTGAATTAGGATTGAATTCAGGATTGTATTAGGTATAAATGATCATTTTATGCATTTTGGGGGGGGGGGGGAGCTGGGTTTTGGACCCTAAACACCAAGGGATGAACCAAAAAGAGAGAGCAATTTGAGGATGATCTTGAATGAGAATTGGAGGATTTCTTCGCCTTGGAAGCTCGAGGAACAAGCCTAGACATGAAGATTGAAGATCTGGAAAGTTATAATGTATTCACTTTGTTCTCTATGGAGTAACTCCCCTTCACTTTGGTTTTGAAGAATCCTAGATTTGTATGCTAAGAAGAGTTGTATGAACTCGAATGCATGATTGATTGGCATTTTATATTCAGTTGAGGCTTATTCATAATTGTTTGAATCCTCGTCACATTCTTGCAGTTTCAGCTTTGACCTAGAACGATAACATCTACATAGACTAATAGATCAACCTGAATTGGAAGTATTGAGTTGATTATGCGAGAGTTAATCGATTTATTTTTTTGTACTTATTGCATTGGGTAGGTTATTCCAGTGAAGGTTTGTTGCCCGCTGGTTACGTTAACAATTAAGTCATGGCAGATGGCGCATACCCGTCTAACTGTAAAACTGTGTACCCAGCGTAGAAGCTTAAGTAGGCTAGTTGAGAAGATTATGGTGACTTACCCAAGCATAACTAATTACACATGAGGCATAAATTCACTAGAACAACATTACCCATAGATAAACTCATTCAAATACCAAATACGATCTAGGGTTCATCTATTCTAAACAACCATTAAAGTTTAAAGTCATAGAGAGAGAAAGGAAAATACAAACTAGAAGAGAGAGAACAACCATTAAAGTTTAGGGTTCATCTTTTATATCTTACAATATGTATACCTCATGCAGGATATTTGTGTCTGCACACTAGAGGGTCATCATGCGGCACGAGTATCATCAGTGGCTTGGCCAGTAGGCAATACCATTTATTCTGCATCTTGGGATGGTAATATTAGAAAATGGGATGCTGAGAAATGCAGTCATGTGTCGACCAACGTATGTGGGAATGTGTCATCTTTTATCACCTTCTTTTCACCTTTTGAACTCCGATCACACTAAGAATGTTCTTCCTGGCAGGTCGGTGGAACACCCTTCACCTGCCTTAGTGTAGCTGGATCGGGATCGAACATCTTGGCCGCAGGTGCATTCGATGGCAAACTTAGGATATATGATCCAAATCAGCCAGATATGCTTCCAGTGACAGACCTGTGTGTGGTTGTCTCGGCTTTTTGTTAAACTTAGCGACTTTCTTTCAGGTTTAAGCCTGTTGCTTTACTTTTTACATGCTCACTTTGTCATTCTTGCAGCCATTTCTCGCCCTGCGCTCAAGTTTTCTTCGCACAATAAAGAGATATCAGCATGCCAGTGGCACAAAGATTCATTCCACTTACTGTCTGCATCCCTTGATGGCACAGTCATGATGTGGGATGTCAGAAATGAGGTATCGATTTTTCTCAGCCAGTTTCAGTCTGGCAGTTTCAATGCATTCAAGTAGAATAAGCCAATCGAATTGAGTATATACTGTACTTTTGATGTGCAGGGGTATTCTGTTATCGAGTCACATGAACACAACATGCTATGTACTGATTGGTTGGAAGAGTACCGTGTAGTCAGTGGTGGTGTTGACTCGAAGCTTCGGATTTCATCTAGTGCCCCCTGCCTCTAAAGGAAACCTAAGAATATAACATGAATGGGGAAATATTTGCGATAACTGTTGGTTTGTGGTTGAACATTTATCATATGAAATCAAGTGGAGCGCAGTTAACTCTACCAAATGAATGTTGTACTGTTGAGTAGGGGTGGGCAACGGGACGGGACGGGATATCCGTCCCGTTTTAAACTGGTACTCAGTCCCATTTGGAGACCAAAGTCCATCCCATATCCCAAACCCATATGGGAAATGGGTACCCATTACCCGTACGGGACGGATAACGGGTACCCATACTACCCATAAATACCCAAAGTTTAAATGACATTTTACCTAGGGGTCGTTTGGATGAGGGTTTTTAAAATGAGAGATTTGTGAGAGATTTAACTTCAAATCACGCGTTTAAAATACCAGGAATTTTATTGGCAGGAATTGTCCAAATTAACTCGTTTGGAAGTTAATGAGGGTTTTCACGCTAAAAAGGAAAAAGACAGTTTTACCCCATTTGTTTCTGGTGATCTTCGTTATCGGCAAGAACAACAATGTGAAACCCAGAAATCGTCTTCTTCAACCAATCTATCATTGCTCCCGGCCCCTGATTTCTTAGCAAGCACATATACTGACACCCACTTAGTTTTTTGTCCTGCAAGACCACTGCTCCCCTTCCATTTTGTTTTTGTCCCCACCAACTACCCTCCCCTTCAGAAACATCAATTAGCAACCCTACACCAAGCATAATCGCAGCCGCTCCTAGCATCATCGTCCACCGCTGCCACGCCCGCCACGCAAACCTCGGCCACCGCCTCGTCCTCCTCTAAACCTGCCACCGTCTCGGGGTTTCATGGTTCTTCTTCGCTGCCGCTGTTACAGGGAGGATCGCCGAGCTTAACCAGGAGAAAGTGGGAAGAAATTGAAGAATGCCGCTATTATTGGGGCAACGTTCAAATCCCAGGTGGCGGTGGGAAGAAATTGACGACGAGTGACTAGGTTTGGCGTCGATGTTCAAATTCCATGTGATGGTGGAATAGGAATCGAAGACGAGAGACCAGTTTGGGCGCCGCTCAAGTTTTCAGGCGGCGGTGGGAAGGAATCGTCGACGGGGACCAGGTTTGGGTGGGAAGAATATCTCGACGTGATGGGAAGAATTGGGTGAGGATTAGTACCGCAACTCTTGGGCAACGGACGACATTGGGCAGTGTTGGTGTTGAATGGGTCGACGACGAACTGCAGATGGAAGAATGAAAGGTTAACGGTTGGAAAATAAAATATAAAAATGAGAGATTTCGAAATAGCTGGTGGCCATCAGCTATTTCAAAAACCCACGTTTAAGGGTTTC